TAGGATTGCCCAACCTTCCTTCCGAGGAGTGGCTGATGGGTTTGAACTGCCAGCCATTTGGTGAGCAGTCAAGTGCCTTAGCCGCTGTGCTACCGTAGTAATACTGCCTCGGAAACCCAAGGAGGGGTCGCTATGAGTCAGGGCGACTCAACGGCAAGTAACAACAACAACAACATGGTTGAAAGTAAATGACGCTCACACAAGGAACTAGGGAACTTGCCTGATTGCCTGAACGTGTCCATAGTGATACCACTTCAGAAACCCAAGGAGGGGTCGCTGAGTTGGATCTGACCTGACGGCAGTGAGTTTGGTTTTGTTTGGAGAGAGAGATAACCTAAACAAAACAAAACAGGATCAACAATAAAACTCACTGGGCTCAAGTGAATTGTGACTAATTGCAACCCTGTGTGTTTCAGGGTACAATTGCACTGCACAGAGTTCCAAGGCTGTGAATTTCTAAAGTAGATCACTAGCCTTTTCTTCTGAGGTGCCTCTGAGGGGTTCAAACCAACCTTTCAGTTAGTAATTGAGCACTTAACTGGTTTGCATCACCTACAGAGCTAGAATTAGTAGTGGGATGAGTATATGACTGGAAATGGAGAGTCTGGTGTTAGGCTCAATTATGGAATAACTGAACAGTTCCTTTGGCTTTGAAAAAGGCTCTAGTCTGGCTGGGCTTCTGTTTGTTATCTGTAAAGGTGGTGATAAGAAGAGATGCTTTCTGATATCTCTTCAAACTCCATGATCGTAAATGGGTAGAGAGAGCAACTGCCAGATGCCAATTTTGATGCTTCCAGCTTGCAACACATTTTCATAGCTGGTGTCCCAAAGACTCTGATTCCTGTTGTTTTGTGCTCAAGTCAATTATTTAAAGGGCATGATTGGTGTGAGAATTGACCCTCCCTAGATTTTCATTTGCACTTAGAAGACAAAATGAGCAAACTGGGAACTTTAATGAAATCCAGACATAAGTGATTAAAGTCAAAATTAATGACATTTAGGAAAATCACTCTATCTTAACAGTTGCCACAAAACAATGATTAAGGTTCAGAACCAAGCTTATACTGTCATTGCTATCTTATTCCTCCTGGGATAGTGTACTGCTTTTCTTCTTTCTGTATTGCCACCTTCACCTCCAGTGTCTCCTGATGGGCCTCTCCCCTGTCTTTGTTCTCTCTCTTCACCCTTAGTAGACTTCTTGGTTATTTTTGGTTGATGATGGACACAAAGTAGGGTTCAATTAATGCCTCGATCCAATAAAGAGACAATGCCACATAGACTTCTGTGTTCCCTCCTTTCTAAGATTCTCTCTCTCTCTCTCTCTCTCTTTATTGTGAACTGGGTGCAAATTTACAAAGCAGATTAGATTTACACACAACAGCTCATGAACATTTGGTTTCACAGCTCAATTATAATCCCCAATCATAAAAAGCTCTCCTCCCAGTGATTATCCCTTCTCTAGTGCCTGAGGCACTTAACTGCTAACCAGAAGGCTGGTGGTTCAAACCCACCAGCCACTCCTCAGAAGGAAGATGGGGCAATCTACTTCCGTAGTGATACTGCCTTGGAAACCCAAGGAGGGGTTGCTATGAGTCAGGTCCGACTTGAAGGCACATAACAACAACAACAACATGCCCTTCTTATCTATGCATTCCTGTGTACAGCTTTCCCTCTATACAAATGCTGCCCTTCTGATGTCTCATGGTTGATTGATCTAGGAGGTGTGGTTCCTTAGGGTAGATGGTTGCTTGTAGGTCTTTCTACTGTTTGGCAGAGAGCTAATCTACAGAAGTGAGTCTAGTTCTTGTCCTGAAAGATAAGGCAGGACAGTAGTTTCAGGGGTTTCACCAGCCTCTATCTGATCAGTAATTCTGGTCATTTTTGTGTTTTTGAATTTTGTTCCACATTTTTCCTCTCATTCTATCCAAGATCTCCAATTTTGATCCCTTTTCTAGTGGTTGGAATCGGTAGCTGGGCACTATCTAGTTTTTCTGGTCTCAGAGTTGTGAAGGCTGAGGTCGTTGTGGTCTACTATATCTTTGGACTAATTGTTTCCAAATGATTTTGATTTTCTTCACTCTTTTTTGCTCTGGATGAGAAGAGATCGATTCCTTTCTAAGATTCTTAATGCATACTTAGAAAAGTGTTAGAATTACTCCCTGAAGGGTTACTATTAGTCACTGTGCTGCCTAATATGCCATCAGTATTGCCACATCCATAATGCTTTCCACTCTTTTGACCTCAGTTTACCTAGAAAAATGATCAGAATCAACAGTTTTGAAATATTCCAGCCCTCTTCACAGATACTAGATTTTCTGATTTGTTTGGGGATCAGGAAATAAAACAGATGATGTTTGATGTTCCTGCTCTGTGATGACATCATGTACAATGGCATACGCACTGTATAGGCATAAGTCTTCAGTATCATCTCACTATTTACATTTTATTCTGGCAAATGATCTGTATGAAATGCATTCTATCTTCATTTATCTTTGGCACAATTTGAATGAGGATTATCAAAAGAATTAGTCAATAATATTAAAGCCTTATTTATATTTAAATTTTATTTTAGCCTGTAATTCCAGTCTTCCTCCCCCATACTGTAGTTATGAAATGAAATACAATACTTAGTTTTAAACTACTTTTTTCCTATCTGATGAGCAAAAATGAATAAAGGAGGGAAGCAGCAAAAAGCTGAGGCAAAGAGGCAAATTACCTTTTGCGATGTAGTAAATTACTTAATGTGGCTTTTCTACACATAAATCTTCGTAAACTCCAAGGTGGGATTTTCTATGAGCAACTGAGGAGCTCCTGATTGCTGAAGTTATCCACCTGGAGTATTGGGAGTGGCACTGTTGGGAGTGGCACAAAACAATGTTCTGGGAGGGCCCACTCTCTCTCATGTGCTTAGAGTTCTGATGCTATGATTGGCTAGTTTGACCACCCTGCTGGGCTCAAAAGGAGACCTCCTAGAGGCAGAACTCTCTGACTGCTGGTCGAGGAAGACGTGCTGCCCAAAGAGACACGCGCCCCTGAAAGAGACACACATCCCTGAGAGAGACATGTGCTGCTGGGAAAGAGACGCAAGAGACATACATTGCTGAGTGAGACACCGAGGGACCAGCACTACTGGGAAGGAGACCGTGAGAGACTGTTGGCCGAGGGACGGTGGGCTGGGAGAGAGACTGAGCATTTTTTTCCTGAACTAGAATTGTAGCCTGTGGTGCTTCCCTAATAAACCCCGTAATCTGTGAGCTCTGTGTGGCCACTGCAGCGAATTATTGAACCCAGGAGAGAGGTGGTAGGTGCTTTTGGGAGGAATGGTTGGAGAAAGGGCTGGAGGGAGGCAGCATGTCTGGCCTTGTAGGAATAGGCCTTGGGTTACTGCTGGTAATCCTGTCTTCCTCTTGTGGGATTAGAGGAGGTCAGAACATGTGGCCTCCTTGTCCTTTTAGCACCTTTGGATAATGAAAACATGAAGTTCCTGCATGGAACAAGTGATTAAGTGCTTGACTGATGGCATAGTGCCTAAGGCATTTGACTGCTAACCAGAAGGCTGACAGTTTAAACCCACTAGCCACTCTTCGGAAAGAAGGTTGGGCAATCTGCTTCCATAGTGATACTGCCTTGGAAACCCAAGGAGAGGTGCTAAGAGTCAGAACCAACTCGACAGCAGTGCGTACTAGCTGAAAGGTTTGTAGTATGAACATACCCAGAGACAACTCAGAAAACAGGCCTGGAAATTTGCTTCAAAA